CCCGCCCCCGCCGCGCGGCCTCCTGGACTTAAAGGGGATGGCGCAGGGCGCCGCCCGCCCGCCGGGGGTTGGGCGCGACCCCTCGCCGCGCGCTAACGACTGCTCGCATTCAAAGCCGCTGGAGTAAAAGACTAAACAGCTGTTTTGGACGGCACAGCGGCGACGGGGTGCCTGCCAGAGAGGGAAAGGGGAGGCAAAGGGGTTCAGGGAAAGGGGATGAAAAGTAACACGGCGCTGGGGCTGTGCTGATGTGGATGAAGAAACTGCTACCGCGTTTGGCGCTGCAGACTTCTGGAGGGGTTCTCTCTAGTCGAACCTGTTACTGTACCACAGTGGGCGGCCTTCTCATGACAGACGGCAGGAATGCCAGCCAGACGGCGCGGACAGTACAGAGACACACCGCCCGAGGAAGCTGCCCGGCTGCGCAGCTGTACAGGGGAGTCCAGCCCGGCCTGGAGGTGGACGAGGTGGACCCACCCCCTGCCCATCCCGCGGGACACCCCGGGGACAACCGACGGGAAAACAACCCCTCCGACATGCATGGTGAATAAATACAATCGTCCGGGGCGATGTCAGCAAAAACTGACCCAAAGATCCATACTTCAGACGCTGAATCGCCTGTACTACTAACTACATGCAGGCCTGCATCCCGCTGGGGGAAGTCCCGAAAGGAGCACTTCCCTCCACCCCCGCGCTGGGCGGCGGGGTGCTGCGAGCGCTTCCAGCGGGACCGCGGCCTCCTTGTGCACCTGAGGAGAACAAGCGCTGCTGTCGCCGGTGCGCGGCGCGCGGACACACCCAGCATCACCTGTCGGCGAGCAAGTCTTACCTCTGTCGATCGCTGGCCGGATGGCATGACAACAGTCGTGGCCCGGGGGCACATTGTTGTTGACGGCGTCACAGGTGGACATGGGCGCCGACGCCGGAGCCGCGGGGGCCGCGCGACGCCCTACTCCACCGCAGACACCCATGGCGTCGTCGTCGGAGTTCTCGTCCTCGAAGTAGCCGCTCTCGTGCTCTGTGGTCTTGTGCACACCCATGGCTCTCCGCTGGGCGGTCTCGGACGCTCACTGACACATAACCTCACTTTTCACTGGGGCGGTCGTCCTTTCGCTCTTAGGTCAGGAAAAAGGTCCTCAGTCCGGCCATGGCGACAAAGGGGTGGTATGGTGTTGGCCTCTCAATCACTTTCCGGAAGGCACACGAGGTCCTGCTCGTACGCAACTACAGTTTTCCAGGGGCAATATGACTGGAATAAATGCACAACTAGGTCGTCCTTGGAAGACGCTTTCAAAAACAAATCACTGTTCCACTATTTTCACTTCACAGATGTTGGGACTTCCCGTCTCGACAAAGCGACGATCGGTCAGACTCGAATTGCACTTTGAACACTATCACATTCCGGTCGGAATGTTCCACACACTATCTCTCTCTTCGCAATAGAGACAAAGCAACACAATAACAAACGCACAACACACGGCTGGTATTTTGCTTGAGGTTGGCTGTAGTAATCCTTTTTAGTGGGTGTAGTCCTCCGTTGCCTAGTAACAGACGGTGCCTCGAACGCGGCGAGAGAGGCAAAGCGTCCAAGTGACACACTGGGATGTAAACAACAAGTGTGTTTTCCAGGCGGGAGAGCGGCAGCAGCCCGTCCTCTCTGTTCGAACCAAAGCACGGGACTGCTCGGCCTGGCAGGCGAGCCGAGCCGCGAGCCGAGCGCTCAGCTGAGACGCCCCCCTCGCCCTCCTCTTCGCGTCCCTCGCCCGAGCCGAGCCCCTCTCCCCACTCGGCGTGCCCTCGGCTCCGCTCGGCTCGCCCCCTCCCCCCCTCCCCCGACACATACGCTCCCCGCGCACAGCTGAGCTGAGAGCCTCGCTGCTGTAGTGTCGCGCTTGGTTGGAGTATACCCAATAATCTTGAAGCGCGACAAATGACGGGCGTAACTGCCCCGGAGAGCCGCACGGGATACGGCGGTCCTCCCGGGCGCCGCAGCGCCTGTCGTGTGACTCAACCTGGCGACGAAGGGCTGCGGGCGGAGTGACTAACCTCCGACCCGACCGAGAGAAAGGGGCAGCAAGGGGAGAGAATTGGACGGGGAACAGCGCCAAATTTTAAAAACAAAACACAAAAACTCTGCCCCCATCTCCCCTAATCCCACCTCCCCTGTTCTCGACCCTCCCACCCCCAGAGGAAAACCACCCCAGCTCGCGCCTCTCAGTGATGCCCGGTTGCATCCCATTATCCTCAATCTTTTTCCTCCGTCTTTTCCGTTGACGAAGTAATGGTGTGGCATACTTTTTCCTCCGACTTCTTGGAGAAGCTCTGAAATGGGTAAAGTGATCAATGGGGAATTTTCAAGAATCTTCGGAAATAAAGTTATCATGAGAGATCGTCACGGGGGTCTTTAGGGGTACTTGACTTGACTAACCACGAGGCCTCTTTTGGCCCAAGGTTCATGATCCGACCGGAGCCGTTCATATAAATGCACAAAGTAATTCGTTTTAGTTAAATTACTTTACATGTTTTATCGTTCTTGCGTTAGAAAAGTGTTTTGTGTTTTGAAAGAGGGCCATGATGGTCTAAACCGAAAGAGGCCTTTTAAATTTGTCAGTGCCGGTAACGGCATTACCGACTATCTAAAAATACTAAAAATACCCTTCCCGCAGCAACAAGACGGCCACTACTGCTAAGCGGTGCAAGAGGAGCCTCGTATCTGCCCCGATACGACCTCATGGGCCGTGCCATGAGTGACCTCGCCTCACCTCGGCGGCCCGCCGCCCCGCGCCACCACGCATGCGCACCGGCCGCGCGGCTCTGCTGTACGGCTCCCCCTGCTTGGGCTCATTTTGGCGGTGCGGTGCGGTGCGGGGAGGCGAGGGGAGGGCAGATCGTGGACTCGTTGTCCGTGATAGCACCGCGTCAATGCCCCGCTGTGGCCCCCCGGCCCCGGCCGGTCGCCAAGCCCGCGGCCGAAACAGCGTCTCCCGACTCTTGACACCTCGAGCTCGCCTGCTGTCACCTTCACAGGGCGAGGCTTCAGGGCCGCGCGTCGCGTGTCGCGTCGCGTCGCGTCCGCCGTGCCGGCCACACTCTCTTGAACCGACTAACCAACCGACCATCCTGTAGTTTTATCGAGTAGCATATCCGCGGATCGCAAAGCGAGGAGAGACAGGAAAAATGTAAAACAAGGCTTGCAGCAAGCTCTGTGGTGCTGTCGAGGATGGAGTGCGTCAGCAGCGCCACGATTATACATGTCGTTTCGTCTTAAACAAATGTGTCAAGTGTCCCGGGAAACCCGATTTCCTCATCTTGGATTTGAACCGTGCGCGCGCACGCGCAGAGTCGTTCGGGTGCGAGACGGATCGGGGTTTGCATCTTCACAGCGCATTGTGGAATTCCCGAAATATCTATAATTGATAAATAATCTTAGAATAACTCTCTTTCTCTCTGTTTCTCTCTCGCTCTCCTCTCTATCGTGAGCCTTCTATCTCATTTCCGTAACAGCACGCGTGCCACCGAGCCTTAGGAAAACAGTATAAGAAAAGCTTGCAATCAGCTGACGGCTGACCTGGTGTGTCTCTGATGACCGCGCGGGCAGCCCGCGGGTCCCGGGCCGAGACAACCGCGACAATCTATCTATCAGTTGCCGTTTCAGGCATTTATTTGTAGATTTTTTTTATAGAGCCACGTGGTAGTGCTCCCTGAATATGGTCTCACTGTCTCTCCCTTTCCATCCGACAGCTGACTTTTATATGATAGTGTGTTGATGTCTTCAACTATTGTTGCGGCTTTTCTGATAGTTACTTTTAAAAGGAAACACGCTCACCTTTAATATCTCTTCTATGTAGTACTGCATATTCCTGGCAAAGTCATGCAGAACACGTCGGCAAACGTGCGATATTCTCCCTCCCTTTCTCTCCGTAAGGCAAGAAGGGACATGCCGTTGTTTTTGTTTACCCTGAGCAATGGTCGTGGCTCCGCGCTGGGAAGGGAGAGAGGGGGGGGGGTGGAGGAAGCTGCAAACTCATGACCTCCTGCCTTTGCTGTTTATGTTATGTTGCCGTACACCTCGCCGTGCACGCCCCCCGGGGGATGCACCGAGGGGGATTACGGGAGGACGCTCTCGGGGATCCCCGTCGTGTTTTGCCGCGGCCCGGCCCCTCGCTCGCGATGACCAAGGCGCGGGAGCGGGATCGAGACGCGTGGGGATTGGGGGAATGGGGGAGGGTTGTTTGGGGCTCGGTTGCCAAAAGTGCTGGTACCACTGTGCTGGTCACAAGAATGAGACACGATTGATCCGAAAATGAACACTGTGGTACCATCCACCAGTGTCTTGACGGCATCCGGCCGTTTCGATCGGTCCGCCGACTTGCCCCAGGTTTTCGTGAAGGCGCTGATGACAATTATGATCATCATTGTGGAGTACACACAGCCCATTTACATATGCCTTCTATCGCCGCTTCTTCCAACAATCATGCCTAACTCGCGGTGCTCTGGCCTGTCGCCTCGCCTCTCGCCACTGCTGACACGCGTCGCCGTCCGTCCGGGACAAGGACCTCGCTGGCGGTGGTCTGGTCATATTCACCGGGAAGGCCTGGCGGCGCCGCGGGGCCACGGGCCACCCGGCCAGACTCGCAGGTGAGTGTCCCTGCACGCCCTGCTGTCTTGCTGTCGGGCGTGCCCCCCCCCCCCCTGTCCGGTCGGGCCCTGTTTTCTGATAAGCCATTGGCACCCAACACCCTAATGGCGCACGGTCGAGTACTTTGCGCAAACAAGACTCGTCTAAGCGGATCACGAGGAGGAAAGGGACAGGCTTGCATTCTTCGCCTCTCTTTCTCCCGCCCTTCTCTCTCTTTCTCTCTCTTTCTCCCCCCGCTCACTCGCT